GCTGCCCCCAGCTAGGAGCCAGTGGGAGCGCAGTGAGAGCTCACTACCCCCTGGCAGGTGCTGCGGGCCTGCGTTCCGAGTGACATCACTCACCTCCCAAAAACCCTTCCGCACTCCCAGGTGAGGGAGTGTGGCCCAGTCTGTGTAATCCCCAGCCTCTGTCTGGCCTCGCGGTTTGCCGGGCACAGACCCCTGGTGCAGCTCTTGCCATTAGCGGGGACTTAAGCAAAACTGTAAATCCATTTTGTGAGCAGTACGTTGCATCAGCAGCCAAGAGTTTTCTGTTTTAAAAAGCAGACGTGTGTGTCCGACTGGCTGAGCTGTCAGGACGCTGTCTGGCCCCCTCCTAGGGAGCCAGCAGGGTGGAGAGTATGAAACAGACACAAAAACTCAGCAATATCTGAGACCCTGCCTGTTCCCCCCCGGGACTAGAGTTTCTCCTGCTGACTGCGAGGGACAAGAGACAGAGAATTATTAATATTTTGACTTGCAAACACTTTAGAGGTGCTCAGACGCTACAGGCATGGGGCTGTATAAGCACCTGAATGGAGAGATCAAATGTCACTCGAGCCTTTTCTAGATGATAAACTGATCCTCCAAACCCTTGTATCTCAACTGCCTGCAGGGACTCGGGGAGGCTGTGGATGTTACTGGAGTGTGCAGAAAAGGCTGGCACTGGCAGAGGTGTGGATCTGGGTTCTGGGTCACAAGTCTGACACTTTGCATTCAGAGTTGCATCGGGTCGTTGTTCCGTGCAGCTGTAAGGAGCTGGTTCCAGAAGTGCTACTTCTCCATCTAATGCAGCTCATGAGATTTAGACAAGTCACTTGTGAATAGGCTCCTGTCAGAAATCAGCAGTGGGGCACGGGGATCTGCTTAAACAAGCTTTTAACCCAGACCTTTTCCCTGCAAATGTGTTCCAAGTGCTCCTCCCCCACCCAGGAGACTGAGCCATATCAACCTGTTCACAGCGCTACTTAGCTGAAATCGACCGCAGCTCCTGGCTCCCTGGCTCTGTAAGGTGATGACTCCTTGCATTATTGCCGGTGTATAAATACAACCCTCGGTTTTCTTTCCATGGTGAGGTTTCTGCGGGAGCTGCCATGTGCTAGGAAACAGATACCTGGTACTGCCTGGGGTGGAGAGTTGAACTGTGCCACGCACTTGGATGGTGGTCATGGCAGGACCTCGCCAGCTGTAACGAAGGGCAGCAAGTGTAAACACCTCACTTCCCCCATAGCCCTCGCTGCCTTGTCTCGCGTGACCCCTCGCTGAGTTCTGGGGAATGAGGAGAAATGCAGAACTCACAGTGCATCCCACTTGGGCTCTGGATTGTTCCACTCCGCTCCTCCTGCTGGGGAGGAGGCTCTCACCTGAGACAGGCCTGGGAGGAAGCTGGAGAGTGGCGCCCTCGGAGGAGAACTGAGTCCCAGTCTGCAGCAGCGTCAAACCCGTCGGTGATTGTAAAGAAAGGAGGCACAGCCGGGGCGGAGGCACAAGATCCCTGGGAACGACTTAAAGGATTGTGACTTTCACCTGCTTCCTTGAAACCAAGAGGACAAGGGCCGCGGTGCCTGTGAATTGCTGCTATGTGCACTGAGGGGACCGCAGCAGGTACCAGGGTGGGAATGAATCTCAGCAGCCCATTGTTACCTGCTCGGCTCGTTATAGGATTCTGGGAGCCTCGTCGGGGTTCTTAAAGCCATTTACATATTTCCCGCTACCGGCTTCATTAGGGATTTTCAGTCTCATTGTGGTCCTGGCCAGTTTTGTATGCTCGTAGCAGGGAGAAGCAGAGTGCGGTTGGTTAGTATTTTGTACATGAGCTTGATTTAGGGTCCCTGTTTATTTTCCTCAGGCAGAGCATACAGTGATGTGACCAGCATGTCATAGAGAACGTCGGCAATTATCTGCTTCTTAGCAGGTTGACAGCGGCATAAAAACTATTTATGAATAGGCTAACTCTCAATGATTTATTGATTTTCATCGACTTTACGGCCTAAAACGTCAACACAGATTAAAATCCCTGCAGCTTTAATTGCTAATGCAAGCCAGATCTGTGGAGGCCCTGGTATGCTGGGTGTCATTTTCCCAAAGAGAAGCTCTTTAAAAACAAAAAACAAAAACGAGAGATGCAGGGGAGTAGCTTAACTAGCAGCTTAAATATTAACATGGAAATAAAAGGTGATTGTCAGACAGTGGAGCGCAGAGGAATCTGGGCAGAGAAACTGGCCCGGTGATTCTGAACTTTTAGCAATAGATAAGTAATGAAAAGGAAATCCAAGTAGGGTAGGTCTTTTAAATAGGAGGAATGTAGAATGGTTTGGATTAGTCTCCCGGGTGACCTAGCGGATACCTGTCTCTCAGATCAATAAATCTCTTCATATCCATTGACTTTTCCCTGTAAAACCAAAGTTGGCCTTTTCTCATTCGAATTTGTCACTTTGTGCTGCCGCATTTGTGACTGCGAGGAGCAGAAAGTTCTGTCGCAAGTGCTGATGAACAATGCGTGGCCCTGACTCTACTTCCTGTGGGCAGCAGATTTGGGGTGGTTTGGGAGTGGAGAGAGTCGGAGCCCAGTGAGGACTGTCTTGATCTCTGGGAGATCATCTTCCATTCATGGAAAGCACTTCAAAAGTGCAGTGTGGACTTGGCTGGTGTATTAGGGGAATGGCCTAAGCAGCCAAAGAGAGGAAATTGCATCATGTGTTGTTGCACCTGCTAGTTGGCACTAAAGAGTTTCAAGGTCTGTGTGTTCACAGCAAGTCACGATGCCCCTCAGAAGTGGGGGAAGATGGTAAACTGAGGCTAGGGTGAGAATTTTTAAAGGGACCTTAATCCACTTTCCGGTGTTGTGGGTGGATGTTTCCCCTGAGCGTTTCTGGCTGTACAGTTCCCTGCTATGTCAGAGCAGAGCCCATCTGCCTGATTAGCTAGGTACTCAGACCCCGGCTGCCCACACCCCGGCACCCAGATCACAGTGTTTGCAGGTCCAGAGGCAGAGGTCCTGCTAGGGGATGTGGGGCACAAGGAAACGCTACCAGAAGGGGAGCTGATTGTCTAGAAGAGCAGCACTGCCCCTTGTCCCATTGCGCAGCGGCAGATCTGTGCAGCGATATTTGAAGATTTGAGAACGCCATAAATAAAATCAGCGTAGCAATAGCTCCCGTTTTCATGGCCTGTGAGTGACCGAGAGCAGCTAGCACAGCTCCTAGAATGACAGTATGAAAACAGTCCCGTGCGGCGTTCTCTTGGGATGTTCACTCTCTCAAATGTCCAACCACAGGGACGCTAAACGGCTGCGCTCCTTTAGCTGGAAACGCTCTAATTCCCATCTCTCCTACGGCACAGGAGAGTTTGGAGAAGTCTGCCGGGGATGCTTGAAACTTCCCAGCAAGAGAGAGCTCCCGGTTGCCATCCAGACCCTTCGAGCTGGCTGCTCAGACAAGCAGAAGCGCACCTTCCTGGCAGAGGCTAGCACCATGGGCCAGTTCGATCACTCCAACATCATCCGCCTGGAGGGCGTCATCACCAGAGGTAGGGCTTATTAACTCTGCATGTCATGGTATGCAAACTCATTGGGTTTGGGGTTTTTTTAACGAAAGGGCCAATTAATCTAGGATGACGCTCGCCAAACCCATTGTGACTAGATCCTAGAGCTAGATCTGAATCCAGTCCTCCTGCACGGAAAGCCTCATGCACTAGGTTCACTCACCCCTGCCTCCACCCCCTCACTTTCAGCTTGGAAAGTTTTGGATTCCTGTTCCCGCTCTCAGAGAGAGGGCTGAACCCCAGAAATACTGGCAGCTTTGTGCTGCGTTGTGGTGGCTTCACTCACTAGCCTTGCAGTTTTAACAGTGTGCGATTCTCAGAGCGAAGGCAAGAACATACAGTGAATGGTCACACAGCCCCCTTCATCCAGGGCACCCGAAGCTCTCCACAAAGGCAGGTGTGTATTGTCATGGGGAAACTGAGGCATGGGGAGGGGTGAGGACTAGACAACACAGACTGTGCCTACGCTAGACTTTTCTGCCAGCTGTTTCCAAACACACTAGCACCAGCTGATCACCATTGTGGTAGCAATGCTGGGAGCGCTTGGCTGCTGACTTGTATCCCCTGCTCAGAGTAGGCCTGCATGACGTGGTGGTGAGAATGCCGGTGGCTACAGCTAATGGTAATACAACAGGAAAAGTTGAGGACAAAATAGAGCCACAGACCAGGAGTCTGGCAGAGCTACAATGCCCAGGTTCCGGCTTGCCGGCTGCGGAATCACTACATGGAGATGTTCCGGACCAGAGAGATGTGCGTTACGTGATGAGACTTTATGCTCAACACACATACGGGACACCTGTAAAAACACCCTAGCCACACACAGCAGTAATGACATGTTTGCTTTAGGTTAGGACACAATTCCAAGTCCTGTGTAACTCAGAGCGTTTATGGGCTGATAACGATGCAAGTTGGGCAGCGTAAGGGGGATATGCACAGACAGCCGCTCTGCGATTGCATGGCACTTACTCTGATCAATAGATACAAAGTGATTCCAGCATTGTTACACGCTTATTAGTGCCCAGCAAAATGAAGCGATACGCTCCCTGATCTGATTTTTGTGGCAACAATGCGGCCTCGTTTACTCGGTAATTTAAAAGCAATAGAAAGCGATTGTCCTGTGGAAAAGCAGGAAGAATGCTGATTGTTTTCTTAATTACCCACCATGGAGTTTGGGTCATTAATGCAGGAGTCTCGCCTTTGAACTAATCTGGTAATATGCTCGAGCAGTTGTTTAGCAATGTGATTATCTGGTGGTGGAGATGCTGGACAGTCGCCCTCTGGAAGCCAAATGTTTGCTTGTGTTGGTTTTTATTATTTTATGGTTCTGATGCTGTTTAATCGAATTTTTACAGCTAGATTAATAAAGCCAGGGAGTCAAACTGGGTTAGCAGCAAAACCCAACTCTTGGCTTAAAAGCAAATTAAAATGAGAGTTTTGTCAGCAAACAGATGAGTGTGTGGTTGCTGTCTGTCCCTGTGGGAGTGTGTGTTCTTTATGAATCTGAGGAAGGTGTGGTTAAATATGGAGAAACATGAACACGCATGTTGTTAACTGTGCTATTTATAACACAGGGGATCAGCTTCTGTTTTAACATAGGGCCCGAACCAGCTACCCTCACTCGCATACTTTTCTCCTCAATGGTGCTACTCAAAGTGTTCCTAGCGATAGTATTTAATATTCCTCCCCAAATCAAGAGCAGGGCCCCTTATGCTGACTGCATTCCTCAGGGTGAGATCCATGTCTCCCTCTGAGACGCCAATCTTGCGCTTGGATCCATGCAGGCAGAGCAAACTGCAGGATTGGGGTCGAAAGAACGAGAGAATCAGGCCCTTAGAGTTTAAGCCGCTTGTGTGCAATACAGATGCACAGAAATCCATCCTCTGATGGTCAAGTGCTTAAGTACCCCTAATTATATCCATTCCATTTCCTACCTTTTACTAATTTCTTCTTCAAAATACGACGTGTATGCTTGCTTTGTGGGTGTGTGAATTATGCCATTTAGATGAACAGCTCCACCATTGATAGTTAGGTAATCAGAAACACTAATTAGTTGCTTTCATTATATGTTTGTGATAGAGAATTGCAAGTCTCTCGCCCTGAGCAAACGCACCCTCCACACTGTTAATGGCCCTTTTTCTGTGTAGTTCCCTCCTTTTCTGTTTGGCAGATGTGATCTTGTTTCAAAATAAATGAATCATCTAGCTGTGACTCTGGAGACATCTCAGGGTCTGATAGCCTCAAAAACCCACATGAGCTTTGTGTTCCCATCATTCCCACAGCTACTTGATATTCATGAAGCATTTCACCATATAGGAATTGTATAGTAAGCCATACTTTCGAAAGCCCTAATTCACTGTTCTCATAGCAGAAAGTTGAAGTCTGTGGATGTAAAATCTGAAGGGTGGCTGGGAGCTTGTTGAAAGGGGGAAAAGAAATGTGTTTGTGCCTTTTTCAGCTGCCTGATGATACTGGAAGGAGGCCGAGATTATTGCTATTTATTTATTTTAAGGTTTCTTTTTCTGCCTTTTTACCTGAGAAATATCAGGAGTATGAGGTCATGTCTGTCTTGTTTTTTGGAGGTCCCACTGCAGCAGTGGTTCTCCACCAGGGGTACACAGAGGTCTTCCAGGGGGAACATCAGCTCATCTAGATATTTGCCTAGTTTTACAACAGGCTACATAAAAAGCACTAGCGAAGTCAGTACAGACTAAAATTTCATACAGACAATGACTTGTTTATACTACTCCATATACTCTACACTGAAATGTAAGTGCAATATTTATATTCCAGTCGACTTATTTTATAATTGTATGGTAGAATGAGAAAGCCAGCAATTTTTCAGTAATAGTGTACTGGGACACTTTGTATTTCTATGTCTGATTTTGCAAGTAGTTTTGAAGTGAGGTAAAACTTGGGGTTCGCAAGACAAATCAGACCCTGCAAAGGGTACAGTCCTCTGGAAAGGTTGAGAGCCCCTGCACTGGAGGATCTAGAGACCTGAAGCAGGACCTTTCATAAATTTGTAGAGTTTATAACCAAAAGGGACCATTCCATCATCTAGTCTGACATCCTATATATCACAGGCCAGTAAATTTCACCCAGTTGCCCCTGTACTGATCTGGATAACTTCCAGAAAGGCATCTAGTCTTGAGCTGGAGATAAAAGAGGGAGAAGCCACCACTTCTCTTCGTAGTTTGTTCCTATGGTTAATCACCCTCGCTGTTAAAAACGTGTCTGATTTCTAATGTGAATCAGTCAGCCATTGGGTCTTGTTCTGCCTTCCTCCACTAGATGAAAGATTCCTTCAGTGCCTATTATTTTCTCCCCTGAAGGTCCTTGTAACAGAAACCAAGTCTCTTCTCAATCATCATTTGGATAAGCTGAGGAGATTGAGTTCTTTTAGTCTCTAACCGTCAGGCATTTTCTCCAGCCCATAAATAATTTTGTGGCTCTTTTTTGCATTCTCTCCACTTTTTCAACATCCTTTTTAAAATGTGGACACCAGCAGTGGACACACTATTCCAGTACTGGTCTCATCAGCGCCATATACAGAGGTTTTTTTCTCCTGCTGATAATACCGCATCTTAATTAATTAACCTCTTACAGTTGGTCTGGCTACTTCCACCTTTTCATGTTCTCTGTATGTATAAATATCTTCTGTCTGTGTGTTCCACTCTATGCAGCCGATGAAGTGGGCTGTAGCCCACGAAAGCTTATGCTCAAATAAATTTGTTAGTCTCTAAGGTGCCACAAGGACTCCTGTTCTTTTTCCTGGACTTTGTTACTTAACACATTGAGTCATATGCATTCCTGGTCCTGAGACTGAGTTGTCAGTCACTCTAAAACAGGTCCTGTCTATCGTATAGAGTGCTGGCCCACTCCATCCTTCCTGAGTAAGGTGTAACCAGTGATTTTAAAATTCCCCTCATGGACAGTCCGACCATTCGGGAATACCAATTTTATCAAGTTTCTTCTCATCAGAGAGAATTTCCAGTTCCTCTTTCTTGTTACCCAGATTCCCAGCATCGGTTTTTAAGCCATTGAAAATTTTCTTTTCTTCACCTTCTTTATCACATTGGTTCAAATTTTTTGCGACAAGCTAAGTTTGTGTTTGTTCTGCATTTGTCTTCTGAGCACCCTCCCCTCTGTTGCTCTGACTGCCCCAGTTCGTCTCCAGCTGAGACGATTGTAGGGATGTAGACCGTCCCTTGGTACAGCCCCCTCTCCCATGGGACTGTGGCTCAATGTTTCACAAGACCAAAACCTTCAGCTTCATGCCCGGTGAGCAGCCAGCAGCCCAGCTCCAGGAGTTCTCCACTTTGGCAGCAGGAGGTGGGGTTGCTGAATCTTCAAGAGAGATTTTCTCCCCATGGTTTATCAAGCATTTGAGTTTGAGGTTTTTAAAAAGCTGGCTCTAAAGGGTGAGTAGAAATCCCTTCCCCAGCTCCCCTCTTTTGCTCGGGGGTCCCTTTCTTTGAATGTGGCTGCCTGACTAACTCTCTAGTTATGCACAGAGATTCCCACGACAGACAGAGCAGACGAGACCCAAATCTCTCGTGTGAAAAGCAAGCAGAAAACGATCTTTCGAGGAGCGAAGCGTTAAGGGCTGGGCTGGGCATCTTTGGGTCTGGAGGCTTTGCTGGGTGTATGTATTTATATCTGTGCAGAACTGTGCTCGATAAAAACCAAGGTTAGCTAAATACTCCTTTTCTGTCTGTGCGCCCAGGAAATACCATGATGACTGTGATGGAATACATGGGGAACGGAGTGCTGGATTCGTTTCTCAGGGTGAGTGTACCTGGGTGTCGGTTACCCCCTCGGACCTTGGCTAGCAGTGCTGCCATTTTCCTAACTGGAGAGTCACAGCACGAGCGGTTTGTGCGACATGCTGAACCTCCCTGAAATGCAGCCTTCCCTTCTCCTGCCTTGCAGAAACACGAGGGCCAGTTCACAGCCGCCCAGCTGACTGGTATGTTACATGGGATTGCTTCCGGCATGAAGTACCTGACCGAGATGGGTTACGTACATAAAAGCCTTGCTGCCCACAAAGTCCTTGTGAATAGCAACCTGGTTTGCAAAATATCAGGCTTCAGACAGTCCCAGGAAGATAAAATGGAGACCATCTTCACCACCATGGTAAGCTGTGGGGGACTGTCAGTGCAGTAGCTGTGCTGTGACAGAGCTGGGTACTCACTAACTTTGTGGGGTCGTTGGAGGGGGGAGGGTTGGGTTTGAAGGTGCATGAGATGGAATGTCAGGGACAGTCACTGAGGAATACAAAGACGAGCTCCCTTGGTAACGTGGTTATCAGACCATCTCTTGTGCTTGGAAATGGACTGATATGTTAGTGCAGCGTAGAGTTTGAGAAGCAAAACTTTCTGACATAGGTTCAGAAGGCAGGAGGAATTTCCTCGTACAAAGTACGAATCATGGAGGTTCTGGAAACGTAAGAATGGAAAAACCTCCCTTCTATGGACCTGGCGGGTGATAGAACCACGTTCCCTGCAAAAATCTGATAGAGAAAAGAACATGTCCAGATCCCTCTGAGATGCTGAAAGCCCCTTCCACGACGGAGCCAAGGTTATGAGGCTCTTTGTGCAGGTTCTGCTGCCACCCATCAGAACAGGAGCACAGCTCTGTCATGGTAGGGAGTGTCTTCTTGCACCGCCCTGCCCCTGAGAGAGATCTAATATCTTCCCAGCAGCTGGGGTTACGGGTTCCACTTCACAGGGTTTGTGAGAAAGTTTCCTTTAGCTTTGGCTTCTGGTACCAATGTTTCCCAAAGCAAAAAGCAAACCTTGGGCAGAATGGCCACGTTCTCATGCTGAATCTTTGCAAAACCGGATCTCTTCTGGTTTCGATGCAAAGCCACAATCAGGATAACCTAAAACTAGGCTCAGCATCGCGGAAGAGGTTTGCAGGCCTGAATGTTGAGTAGGGATCAAAATATGAAGCTAGCTGAGTTTCACAGCTCTAGTTAATACCAGATACAGAGAACCTGCTGCAGAAGCAGGATGTTTTCTGGTTGCCTCGTCTCTTCCTGATACAGTATTTGCATGTAAAAGAGTTTTCTTTTCAGCTGGAGATTAAAGTAAATGGCAGTGAAATGCTAAGGCTTTCTGCATAAACTACCTATGAATCTGAATCAGTGCAACACAAATTCTTCCCCTCTCATCACCTCTGTGTGTGTGTGTGTACGTACATGTACACATTCATGCACTGGGAGCTGTAAGCAGCTCGCACAGCCTGGGGGTTAGTTGTGTGTGTTTTATCACTTGTAATGAAATTCATGGTTTTCAATTAAGAATTTAAGACCTGTCTGATTCACACACCTGCCTATTCAGCGTTCCCAGCCAATAGGCTTCCTGAACACTCAGAGTCATAAAGAGATGGGGCTTGAGATCCCATTACATTCCCCCAGAAACACACCCACACCCCAAACATGGCACTTGGAGGGGGGAACTGTCCTGCAGACTCCGTTAGGGAGTCAAATTACAGGTTTGGGGGAAGGACGCACACTTCCCCACGAGCACATCTTCCGCATGGCAGTATAGCGCTAATTCGCTCACAGTCCAATTTAGAGCATTTCACTTGCCAGTGAAGAAATCAATGTACAGTATTTTTAACTGAAAAGCAATAAAAAAATGTTTAATTTGATGTCCCACAGCCAGCATACGTGAGCCAACACCATTATATCATCCCATTAACCACGTCATTCGTATTTAAAAACGACAATGGATTCTTCACTCCAAAGAACACGTACTGTCCCAGGCAGTATTCTGGTAACACAAAGAACTAGCGGCTGCTGACACACTGGCTTCAGCCAGCCCTTGAGCCCGGGGGTGTGACTCTCCCTGCCTTGCTGGCCTGCGCGGGGAACTGCTGACGCTCACCAGCTCTGGCGAGCCTGGCACTTAACGACCTCGGTTAGTCTGAGTGTCTGATGCTGGTGGAGTGTTCGGCGCGTCCCCCCAGCCTGATCGAGGGTCAGGCCAGGGGAGAGCCTGACTTGGAGTCTCTGTGGAATTGGAGGGGAAAGCATGTCTCTCTGAGCTATAGCTGAGACTCTGAGTCCCAAATGTTATGGATGGAAACCTCGTTGGCGCTAATGAGAGACTGGGGGCCGGATATGCCCCAGTTGAGGAAAGGCTGGAGAGACCTGCGGAAGCACCAGGGTCCCCTCTCTCTAACAAGCAGGGTGTGTGATTGCCGAAGTCCGTCTCTGTCCCTAGCAGGTAATTAGTATTCACCGAGAGGAGCCCAGTGCCTGCTGTCCCACGTGCAGCCAGAAGGGTTCTGCAGACGCTGTAGAGGCATTTGCTAGTTACAAGGGAGGTGAGGTCGGGGGGAGTGGCGGTGTGTTTGCCGGGTTCTGAGGGTGTTTTCGTTCAATATTAATGGATAAAATGCCATCAGCTCCTTCGGGAGACTGTACCTCCCACGTTAATGTTTCAGGCCTCGCCCTGCCCTGCAGACTAGCACTGGGACTTGGTCCATTGTTAAAGAATTTGGTGCAGAGTTTTCCCCTCCCATTAAAACTGCACATGGTACCAAGGTCTGTGTCACTAACTGCTCCACAACACAGGTGGGACGCATGCCGATCGGAGGCATTAGTGAGCCTGTGTGAACGTGTCCCTCGTCCTGCTGCAGAGATCCTCATGTCTTCCTTTCTTCTGCCTGGCCAGAGTGGGAAGAGCCTGGTGCTGTGGTCAGCCCCCGAAGCCATCCAGTACCGTCGCTTCAGTTCTGCCAGTGACGTGTGGAGCTTTGGCATCGTGATGTGGGAGGTGATGTCTTACGGGGAGAGACCCTACTGGGACATGTCCAACCAGGACGTGAGTTGCTTTGCAGCCACCTTACTCTGACCCTACGGAGAGATCATGTTTCAATGACGGGCATTCGGGAATTGCAAGACATGCATGTCGCTTGAGTGGCTCTGTATTTGCATCTTGGGTTAACGTGGGGCAGGGGGACATTTGTCATATTTTTGGCCTATAAGAGCAGAGCTACGCAAATAACCCAAAAAGTTTAAAACAATTGTTTCGGGTTAAACTAGGGTTACCATCCGTCCGGATTTCCCCGGACATGTCCGGCTTTTTCAGCTTTAAATGGCCGTCCGGGGGGGATTTCTAATAAAGTAGAAATGTCCGGGATTTCCCCCTTCCCCTCATGCAGAGTGTGGTGTGGCTGATTGGACGGCTGGGCCTGATTGAAAGTCGCTCGCAGCCACTGGGCAAAACTTTTCATTTACTTTTTGACTTTGATTACCCTTTAAAAAAATTTAATGACATGGAAAGAAATTTTGAAACAAAATAAATAATTTTGAATCGATAGATTTTGTTTTAAAATTTTCAAAACAAAACCTTTTGATTTTTTCAGGGTTTTTTTTCCAACCAAAAACAAACAATTTGGCAATTTCAACAAGAATTCACTAAATGTTTCAGTTGACCCAAATCGGCCATTTGTGGTGAAAAATGTTTCCTCTGAATAATTTGGCTCGGCTCTCTCAAAGCAATGTGAATGTCGCACTCCAGCAGCGCTGACAGACAGGCACTTCTCTGCTGCTCTTCAGTGACTCCTTTGTATAGCTCTCTTCTCTTCCTGCCCCGTGTGGGATTTCAGGTGATAAAGGCCATCGAGGATGGGTTCCGGCTGCCTCCCCCGATGAATTGCCAGCCCCCGCTTCACCAGCTCATGCTGGATTGTTGGCAGAAGGAGCGAAATGAGAGGCCCAAGTTCTCACACATCCACAATATCCTAAGCAAGATGCTTCAAAACCCAGAGCCACTGAAATGTACCACCTCCACTTGCACCAGGTGAAAATCTGCCTGTATCACCAATCTTTCTCTTTAATTCTAGAATGCCGGAGCGTTCGCCTCTGTATGTATCCCATGGGCCATACCACATGGCTCACTCCTGGGTGACAGCAGATGCTGAAGCAAATCCAGAGCCACTCCATCTAAATCATTGCAGCAATTCCCAGACGGGCGCTGCTGTAACTGAAATCAGGATTGGCCCTCTGAGTGCAGTCTGCCTCATGGGATCTGGCTGGATTGAGGGATTCCTGGTCAGTTGAAGCTGAGTTCACAGACCGCTGTGTGGATCTCATGGGGCTGACACCAGCAATATGGACCTGCCAAGGCTTGGGTCCAGCACAGTGCCTAGGGGTATGTCTACATTGCAATTGGACCCCCAGGCCTGGCCTGTGCCAGCTGACTCGGGCTAACGGGCTGTTTAATTGTGGTGTAAACATTTGGTGGCTCGGGCTGCAGTCTGGGCTCTGGGACCCTCCCACCTCGCAGGGTCCTGGAGCCTGGGCTGCAGCCTGAACATCTACAGCGCAATTAAACAGCCCCTTAGCCCGAGCCAGCTGGCACCGGCCAGCTGAGGGTTTTTAGCTGCCGTGTAGCCAGACCCTTGGAGAGCGACAGCCCCAGTTCTACCCTCCCGCTCCTGTGGGAACACAGAACCAGTACAACCTCTCTGCACAGGGTGGGTGGCAGGGCCCCCAAGGCGTCTGTCCCCCCGCCTCCCATCGATCTGTGCGGCGCCCTGCATGCCAGCGCAGAGAGAGGTATCCCGGGAAATGGGATCCAGCAAATGCACTCTTGTGAGGATCCTCTGGCCATGCCCTCGTTGTTTGATGTTTTCTCCCACGCTGCCTCTGCTGCAGAGCCAAACCTCTCCCCACCTCTCTGCCTCCAGCTAATGCAGCACTGACGGGTCAGACACACTCTCTCCTCAGCCCCCGCGGGTGGGTCTGGGAGCTCTGGCAGGAGGAGGATTCTGCAACTGAAGTTGATTAGAAGCAGAACCCTTCAGAGGAGGAAGCAGGGGTTTAAGAGAAGCTCCTCTTCTGCACGTTGGGGTGTGTCTGTCATGCGGTGCTATGTGACTGAATTCCTTCGTAAGCCATTGGGAGCGGTGCTGCGTGGCTACGCTGGCGGAGCTGCAGGCCGTGTGGGACTTTCGGGTGACCTGCTCTGCTCTGGTTCCTGGTGGAGGGGGGAGACCTGCTCCAGCAGACTGAAGCCTTCTCTATTGTTGAGTCACTTGGGAAGAAAGTGAAGTGCCCAGTAACCCCGGATCACAGCCAGACGCAGCCTCTGATGGAACTGCAGAACATTCTGTGATTCCAGATCCTCAGAGTGGGTAGGATTAAGGAGCCAAATAGCCACCATCCCTCAGTTCTCCCCTTCCTTACATGGCCAGTGCTCAGGTTAAATTTCCATGTGCCTTGCCTTAGTTGTTCCCTGAAAACTTGCATGGGCCAAGCCCACTTTCATGCCTGCTAGAGAGGTAGCTGCCAGATTCAGTCCTACGGATGGGAGCTGAACCTTGCTTTGGTGTGATCTAACTGCTCGTGTGCTGTTTGAGTTGGCAGGCCTCACAGTCCATCCATCCCCCTGGCCGAACGCACTTTCTCAGCCTTCCCGTCTTTCAGCTCTGTGGGTGAGTGGCTGGAAGCCATAGAGATGGGCAGATACAAAGATAACTTCACCGCGGCGGGGTACTGCTACCTGGAATCTGTGGCAAGGATGATGGTCCAGTAAGTGAAGAGTGTTCTAGAGAATAGATGCAGCTTAAAATAGCCTGCTCTGAAATACCAGGCAGCTGCTATTACATGTGAACAAGAGATATGCATGGAGCATCGGACCCCCTAGGAGAACACGCTCCAGGAGAGGTTGGAGCTGCATGTTTTTTGTGTGTGTATCTGTCCTTTGTTTGACCTGTTTAGATTTTAAAGCTGGAAAACTGGAGGCCAATTATAGTATTTATGGGTGAATGGCTGGCCGGCTCCCTCTCCCAGCACAGCTCAGATCATACTGGGAGTTTATAAAGCTGCAAATAAATAGTCCTATTTGCAGATAATACAGGTAGCACAGCCCCAAGTGAGCTCCTGATCTCCAGCCTGCTTCCTTTGGGTTTGGCTTCTCTCCTCGTGACCCCTGACACTGTTCCAGTCTTTCTGTTGCATCCGGTGGCGATTACAGTGTGGGACCCCGTCCAAAGTCTGCAGGGCAGAGAGAGCATCTGTTGCCTGTGATGTACCCAGCATGCTGCAGTCTCTGTCTCTGAGTTGCTGTCTCCTTTGGCTGGGACTCCATCTGTGGGCTGCTCCAAAGAGAATTGCATGAGGCTTCGTGTCCACACGAGCTGTACCCCTGAGCCACAGTTGCCTTTTAGTCTAAAATCTCCATTTCCACCATTGGCCGGTGGCCTTGGGGGCCTGATGCTGTGAACTCACCTCTGCTGTGGGGCTTGTTTTCCAGAGATGTCCTGAGTCTGGGAATCACCTCCGTGGAACATCAGAAAACCATCCTGAGTGGGATCCAGACCCTGCGAGCCCAGGTGATACAGATGCATGGTCGAGGCGTGCAGGTGTGAGCCCAGCAGGGACGGACGGACACTTTCAGAGCACTGACGTACAACTCCCCGGGGACAGTGGTGCAGCAGGGCCAGGAGCTGGCCCCTAAACTGGACCAAATCTCTGAGACTTTACCAAGAGCAGCTGTGTGAGTGGGAGGTAGGAAGTACAGGTCTGCCTCAAACTAGTCATTCCAGAGTAGCGAGGGAGTCCAGGAGTTGGCGTTTCCTGTCCTGGGGTTCTCCCATCAGCAGCTTTAGTGCAGTGTGCTTGGTTGGTTGTGTTTTTCCCCAGCAATGTTTTGTAGGACGAGAGTCAAGCTACAATGATGCCGTTTCACATGGTACCTAGGTTAACAGGGTGGACTGGACACTTGTGTACTGGTTTTAAACTGGATTTGACAGTGTTTTAGTATCTCGCGTTCTACTGATAAATCCATAGGTATTTTTTATACAAGCTGATGTGTTTTACTGACCCCCCGAGTACCGTCTGTTTTCTAGAGTCCAGAGCACAGCGCACTCTAATGGCCCAGCTTTGAAAGGTGACTTGGCCCATCCATTCCTGTCCTTCCAGAGGAGATTCTGAGTTCCCACTTTTCCCCAGCGTGAGCCATTCCGAGAGTTACCTCATTACGTCACAAAAAGTGTATGAAAAATAACGAATTCAAATCAAAGTGGCAGGAAAAAGTCCCCAAATTCCGTCAGAAATGGGACAGAGAAAATTAGGGAGTTAGTCTGGAGTTATTGAGAAGAATATGGCATGTGTCTGTTCATTCCCACTCCTGGGATGTGCCTACAGCCACTGAAAGAACAACTCTGGTGACAGGTGAGTAGCCTCCATTTCTCCCCCAGAGACTGTCCCAATGAACTCCCTAAAACCATTCTCTGGAGCAGGACTAGAAATGGCTGGTCAGAATCACCCTGTTCAATCGTAGCACAATATTGACGTTTCACATCACGGATCAGTATCACACTATGTCAGAGCCAGAAGGTGCATCCCAAAGCTTGTCGCTGGGTGTGAGACGCACGGTGCTGTAGCACCAGGAAGGGTTGGGCCATGTGCGCTGTCTGTGATGAGAACGCTCTACACTGCTTGGGGGTTGGTTTGATGAGCCACAGTCAGGGTGTCCGTTTCAGGTAATTTCAATGGTGGTGTTGCCAGATTAGATCCTAAAACAGGAAATTCTGGCCAAATGGTGGAATTGGGTATCAGAACGGAATCAATGAACCAATGGGATCTCTGAAACTGTCTTGAAATCCAGACAAGGCAGGCTGTATCTGCCCCTTGTTTTGTTGTAAATAACAGGCCCAGTCCTGCATTCCTTGCACATCAAACGCACCCATTGTCTTCAGTCAGGGATCACAAATGGCATTTGCTTAGCAGTACAAGTTTCCTTTAAGTTAGTTAATTAAATGGATTTTTGCAGCCTGGATTCAGTTAGATGTACAGAGTTTTGTAGGCCCTTGATTATCATCTATAAGCATTACAAGTGAATTATTGATGATGAAAGACAAAGATTTACAAAGGGAATTAATGCAGTGGAAAGTATTCAAAGCATATTTAGAAATCTGTTTGCATTGTGATTCAGATGTGCCTACTAGACTGCACCATAGGGATAGAAAACTAAATTGAAACTAAATACAGGACCTTAACTCCTCATATGCCCTGTAGTGTTGGCACAGTATTTACTCACTGCCTGGGCATCCTTCATCTGCTCTCGTAGAGGTGATGAAACAAAGAGGCAATAGCATGTTTTAACTCCTCTCACTGGTGTGGGGACCCTTGCAGAGCCTGTTACGTTGGGGATCTAACTCTTCTATTCAGAAAGGTTTACTCGATGGTGGGCTTTTTTAATTGTCCATACTTGAGTAAAATTCTGTTTTGGCTCAGGTGCTGTGATCTGTTCAGATTCTGGAGTCCAGCGGTTTTGTTGGCAGGATTTAGCTTTACGTTGGTTTTGTTGCATTCTCAAAGCAAATGGGAACATTCCTCTCGAGAGGGGATTTTCTCAGATAACATTTCACGACCACTGCCTATAAGCTGGGGAAGGATGTGTGCACGTTTTGTGACTCTCTGACAGCTACATGGGACTTGGCTGGCTTGCTTTCTTGGTTATTTTTGTACTGCTTCCTTGCGTCATCAAGCTGGATTTATATCTGTTTAGTTCCACAGAGGGGCAGTTGTACGGTCCTGGGGATGGATGTACAGATAGTGTTCATCATGTCACTACGTTAGACCCTCCAGATGTGGCACCAAGAGGGTGTGTATTTTAAATACAACAGAGGTCCCAGCTAAAGCTCTTTGTAATGTTCCTGCCCATATAGAAGCTTTCAGGCAACGTCACAGCCGAACTCTCCTGGCAAAGGATCCTGAATCCCAGCAGCTCAGACTGTGTGAGCTGACCTTAAGGAAGTTGCCTCCTTTCTTTGCAGGCTTTTGAAACAAATTTAAGCAATTCCTGGTAGTAAAGGTGAGGAACAATGGAGTAACCAGAGCACAAATTGTGTGCAAAGCAAGAGATAAGAAATATTGCCCCATGGAGAACTGGACCTATAATTTGTGCTACAAATCTACAGAGCATGCAGAAATCAACATGCCTTTCAACACACCATTTCTTGGGGGAATTGCTGGGGTCAGGAACTCTCCCTGAGGTAGATAAACTCTCTTCTCTTTGTCACTTCTTCAGTTAAAAAAAATACACCTGCCCCAATGTCACCTGGTTAACTTTTAATGAAAAGAATTTGTCGTCAGGGTTCATCTAATTCCGGGGCCAATTAGTCAACATCTTGTTGTTTCCTACCCAGACAAATAATAATTGTGAACTGAAACCTTCATTTGGTAGAAATGCCAGATCCTAAGGATCAAGTGCAATTTGTATGCTCTTTATGTTTACATTTTATCTATAGAGAAAGTGTACTGTAGTCCTCTAGCTAAGAAATTGAACCAACTTGATTCCTGATCATTTCATTGCATTTGAAATCTTCCCTTGGGTTCCCAGTATCTGTAACCTCTTGGCTGTGATCCTTTCTAAGGGTCGTCTGCACTCTGGATGGCGTGCAGAGAGGCTGTGGAGACCATTGCTGGAATAACTGTGTCCAGCTCTGGGGTCTACTCTTTAAATAGGTGTTGAAAAATTGGAAAGGGCCCAGAGAACAGCTACACAAATGAATTAAGGTCTGGAAAACATGCCGTACAACGGGAGTCTAAAGGAGCTCGACCTCTTTAGTATATTGAAGAAAATGTTAACAGGTGATTTGTTCATGAGCTATAAGTACCTGCACAGGGAAAACCTACCTGAGGACTCGAATCTAGCAGACAAAGGCATAACAAGATCTAATGGCTAGAAATTGAAGTCAGCAAAGTTCAAAGTGGAAATCAATTGCAGATTTTTAGCAGTGACTCTAATCAGCCATAGGAACAGATTGCCAAGAGTTGTAAATTCTTCATCACTTGGAGTCTTTAAATCAAAACTGGATCTCATTCCAAACAAGGGGGTTGAACTGGAGCATAAATTGTTGGGTTAGATGCAGGAATCGCTGGGTGAGGTTCTCTGGTCTGTGTTCTGCAGGAGGCCAGACTAGGTGAGCACAGGAGCGCCGCCAGCTTTTCTGCCACCCTAGGCGGCGGAAGGTCCCGCCCCCAAAACGCCGCCCCCGACAGAGGCAGCGGAAAGTCCCGCCCCCGAAATGCCGCCCCCGACAGAGGCGGCGGAAGGTCCCGCCCCCGAAATGACGACGACGACTGGGGCGGCCGAAGATCCGGTCGCCGCCCCCCAAATGTTAGTGCCCTAGGCGACCGCCTAGGTCGCCTAATGGATTGCACCGGCCCTGGGTGAGCATAATGTTCCCTTTGGCCTTAAAATCTACCAGGCTAGCAGAGAAAGGTCGAACACGAGCCCAAGGGCTGGAAGTTGAAGCTAAACAAATTCAGACTGGAACTAAAGTGTGAATATTGACCCATGAGAGTAATTAACCATTGGAACATGGTATCGAGGGTCGTGGTGGATTCACCTAGTCTGACCACCTGCATAGCCCAGGCCAGAAAACTGCCCAAAATAATCCCAACGGTGAATCTTTTAAACAAACATCCAATTGGTTTAAAAATTGCCGCCAGCAGCAGTACAGAAGTAAGGTTGGTATGGTATTGTATTGCCACCCTTACTTCTGCCCTGCTGCTGGCAGGGCGCTGCCCGCAGAGCTGGGTGCCCGGCCAACAGCCGCCACTCTCCAGCCGCCCAGCTCTGAAGGCAGCGCAGAAGTAAGGGTGGCAATACCACAACCCCCCTAAAATAACTGTGTGACCCCCCCCACAACTCCCTTTGACTCAGGACCCCCAGTTTGAGAAATGCTGGTCTCCCCCTTGAAATCTGTAAAGTATAGGGTAAAAGCGCACAAAAGGCCAGATTTCACGGTCCGTGATGCGGTTTTCATGGCCGTGAATTTGGTAGCGCCCTAGTTATAGACTATTGTTATATTTTTTAATATTAACATCTATCCCACCAGTAGCTAACCTTTAGGGCTGTGTTCAACGCCTTGTAATTCAATGAATTAGCAACGCAGTTTGTCAGCTGCTCAACCAAGGGAATTTATTCTCTTTCCCATCCAACCTTTGGCACAGTGAGAACCAGCGTCCCTCCTGTTAGTCACAGGGATACCCTGATCACTTGGGCTGTAAGGAAGGTTTAATGCTCCTGCCACAGTACTCCCTCTCCCCCCTGGGCGCATTAGTGTAATCTGACCTATTTAGAGGAGAATAAAGAACCCTTTTTGGTAATCAGCAGGCTTTACTGGTGCTAATAAATGCAATTACAACAGGATTAGATTGTAGACCTTAATGCGGCCAAGGCACTGTGTGTGTGTGTGTGTGTGTGTGTGTGTGTGTGTGTGAGTGAATCCACACCCAAGTAGGATTGTGCTCTGGTCGCCCTTCCCCTCCCCTGCTCTGGGAGTGGGAAAAGCCCCTGAACCCAAATTGGAGTTCTTTAGCTTGTCCCATTGGCCTCCCTGCCCTAAGCCAGGCC